ATTACTGAATCATCGTCACAACGACTTCTTAATCACTTTTAAATTTTACTATTTCTGAGATGATGACTGATTTTCAAATAAATAATCAATTATACATTAACGGGCAATCCTCATTTACCTAAATTTCCTATTACGCAGGTACCTTTACACCTAATTATACCAAGAAATTGTGTTCTTAATATTTTTGACTGGACTGTTGATGGTTTTAAATCGTTAAAATATTAATATATAGTTCCGAAATTGTACTAAAATATTATCAGTCGTTGAAAGCAGTTCAAGTGAGAAAAGTCGTTGTGGATTTAAGAAACAAAAAAGAAAATAACATCAAGTTTTAAAATGGCAAGATTATCGGTGAGTTTTTTTATTATATATTTTTAACATTGGTAATAATAATAATTTTAATTGCAAATTTTTGTGGTAAATATTTTTTTTAACAAAAGCATTTAGATAGTTTTTAAAAATTTCCTAATGGGTAATTTAGTTTGTAATTTTTTATTAGTGATTTTTTTAATTTTATTTTTATGAAGTCAAAATGCCGTTTAATAAAGATAGATCGTTGATATTGTAATAATATCAATATATTATGAAAATGTAATTATATCAATTATACCGGGTGTTCAAATTAAAGTGTTACAGCTAAATACCGCCTTTTACAAAAAAAAAAAAAACGTTTCAGACGAAAGTTTTATAGTTTTATGGGGAAAAAATTTTGGCTAAAATCATTTTTTATAGCTAACCATAATATGGTTAACTTTTTTTCGCCCAGCAAAATTTTCAAGGAGTTGTTACTCAAAAAGTAAAAAAGTCCAATAAAAAAAATATTTCCTTCAAAAGTTTCTTATTTTTTTATGTACTTTAAAACAAAGTGATAATTTCACTAAATTAATTTTTAAATAAATAATTTATGAATAAATGGCAACTATACATAAAATAACTGCATTTTTAACCAAGATAATTCTAATTGTCTATCCTAATAATTTTTTTTAATTAATTTTGTATAGTTTTTAACTATATACTATAAATAAATAATTATCTCAGTTTGATATTCATGTTCCTATGATAACTTTCAGAAATAATAATAATATTTCAGTGTAAAAAACTCAATTTTTAAACAAAATTTTGATTTTTTTAGGTTTTCTTGATGCTCGTCTTAGCAGCCATATTGGTGGTATCTATAGAAGCTTACCCTGGTCATAAATATGATAAATACTACAAAGACCACGGTAGATACCCATATGGTCCTGGATACGGTTATGGCGATCACGGTTACGGCAATGGATACGGCTACGGTAATGGATACGGTAATGGATATGGTCACGGCAACGGATATGGTCACGGCAACGGATATGGTTACGGTAACGGATACGGCCACGGTCCCCACGGATACAATAATGGATACGATCATCATGGAATTGGACACGGAATTGGAGACTTGTTTGGGATTCTCTAAATGGTAGACGTGTATTTGAAAAGCATTTTTGTATATTTAATTAACTCAGTGTATGTTACTACATGTTGTAAACAGTTTTAATAAATTATTTTTTGTACTTCTATTTGAATTATTTCTACTATCTTGAACAAAACTTTAAAGTAAAATATCTAAAGGTAGTGGGAAAAGAAAAAAAGGAATTAACTTATTTTACAAATATTAAACAGTATGTACTTAAAGTCTATAATTTTTTACTGTGGTGCAAGAACAAAAAAAAAACAGATAAAAAAAAAATAAAATAAACAGTGGGAATATTTTTAAAGTTACCTGCAATAAAGGATTTTAAAGTTTACTTTAAAAAAATTAAAGTTAACAGTAATAAAGGATTTAAAATTGCAATTTCTTTTGTTAAAACAAAAATTGCAATTTTAAATCCTTTATTACTGTTGGCTTTAATTTTTTTGAAATTAACAGTAATAAAGGATTTAAAATTGCAATTTTTGTTTTAACAGGAGAATAGGGTCCCGGTTTTGGATTCCATCATTGGTCACGACTTTTTCATTTATTTTAATTATTTAAAATTAATTCTGATGCCTTGGTAGGATTCCACACTCGACCATTCACTGTTAGGTTCTAATTAACAGTGCCGTTCTTAAAGTTGCACTGGGAAACAGTAAAAAAGCATACAGAGAACGCGAAATGATATTTTTCCTGAAAAAAACTAAGATTCAGCTTACCGACTCACTAGTGCTTAGTCATTTTAATTACTGCGATAGTGTTTACGGACCTTGCTTAAATAGTACTGAGGAACGCCGAATTCAAAAAGTCCAAAATACCTGTTTGAGCTATGTTTATGGTATTAGAAAGTATGACAGAATATCTCACAAGTTGGCCAGTGCAAAGTGGCTCGATATGAAAAGCAGACGTAAACTCCATGCTGTAACTCTCTTCCATAAAATAATCCTTTTTAAAACTCCCCCATACCTCTACCAAAAGATTACATTCAGAAATGATATACATAATTTAAATGTAAGATATCGTGGCTTGATTTCTCCTCCATTACATCGCACTTCCATCTTCGAGCGATCATTTTCTTTTCAAATATACAATTTATATAATAAAGTTCCCGCAACTATTAAATTATTAAATTTATCAGCCTTTAAAAAGTCGTATAGGAGATTAATTAATTAGACTATAAACCGCTTAGCATTTATGTACTCATCCTCCTTTAAACAAAATATAATTTTGGAATTTGAGACCTGGTGTGTGTCGAGCGAGTGAAATATATATTTTTTTATATTTTTTATATATTTTTATTTTTATCTCTTACAATTCAAACATTGTAACTTATAGGTATAAAAACCCTTGTTTAGTTTCTACGTTTGCCGCCGTCTTCGGATAGTCTTCAAGTAGAGAGGATATAAGTACTTAAAACGATTTTAATATTTTAATACTTTTGTTAACTCTTGGGGCTATCCGGGGTTGGCGACTGGCGAACAAAACCATAACCGAGGGCGTCAACTTTGTATCAGTTTTAACCACAAAGCATGTATCTTCTAGAGACCCCACGCCAATGTTAAACTTTTAAACCAAATTAGCGCCACCTTGTGTTTGGAGCTGGAACTAAAATAGACAGATGGCGGTAAATTCAAATTGTAATTTTTAGGAGTAGGTAGTAGTTTTAAATGATTTCCACATAAATTATTTTATAAAATAAAGTATGGAACTAGTAAGTTCGAAACTTTTATTTTACAAAATAATTTAGGTCGATTATACCAAATTTGAAGAATTAATTTGTTATAAGGGGTCTAATGTGGAGAGTTGGTTCTGCATATTTTTATTAAATAAATATAAGAAATATCAATAAATAATAAAATAGAACATTCTTAAAATATGTTTATTAATAACTTAAATAAATATTATTAGATAAAAATAAATACAAATAATAATACATATTTAAGGAATACTTACTTGGAGCAAATATATATATAATCTCAAATCTTTTAATTACCTATCAATAATTTAAATGTGAAGTAGAGACTAGGATATTACATTTTATTAACACTAAAGTTATATATTTTATAAATGTCTTTTTAACTGAGGACAAATGTAATATAGGTATTGTATTAAAAGGTGAATACTTTTAACTATTCATTCAATGATAAATAGGTATTTTCCTTCCAAATGGTGGTATTACTCTCTTATGTGAAAAATGATTTCGGAATCTAGTCCAGTGATAAATTGATTATCAATTAGTTGTTGTCCCCGTTTATCTTTTTATGATGCAGATGCATGGTGAATATATGGTGAATCAATGAAGTTTTTCACGAAGTTTTCAACGTAGCACCAAAATTATTGCAAAACACAGTAGGAAATAAAAAAGCGAAACATCACAATTTTGCAAATAACTAAGACGAAACTATAAACAGAAACCAAAAGCCAAAGCCAACAAAAATCACTAAAATCAGACGGAAAAATGAAACTAACCAAGAACATAAATAAATACACGTCACATCTTTGGAGTCTTTGGTTAAGTTTTTCTCCCATAATGCTTAAAAATGGAGTAGGAAATCATAATTTCACCAGTAGCCCCATCTAGAGTTTGGAGCAAATAGCATAAAAAATGTCAGTTGTCGGTTTTGACCTTGGTCATTCACGTGGAACCTCTATGTGCTTTGTGGTTTTAACTGTCTGGACGTTCTCTTTTTGTATTTGCGTAATTATTTTTTTTTATTGATTTAATTCTATTGTACACCGCAAATGCAAAATAAACTATTATTATTATTATTATTATTATTAAATAACCATAGTAGTTGAAACTGATGTCACACAAAAAAACAGGAGAATAAGCGTAACTGAACAAAATATTTTGGTAACATTTTTTTACTGTCACATGAAAAATAGATACCACTTTCTTCTTATACAAGGTGTCCCAAATAAGGGTGATCGATTTTAAATGTAAATGCACAGCTTATTAATTGCTCTAAAGAGATGGGGTTTTCACTAATTGATTTCGTTTATCCAAAAGTTTTTTTTTCAAGTTTGTTCACATTTTATCACATTAATACAGGGTGATTCATTAATGTCGGTCAAATTGAATGGAAAAAATATATATTATTTCAAATGAAACACCCTATATATTTTGATGGCATTCAAAAGGGAGATTCATCTACTTATTTTTAAAAAGTATAGTGCATTGAACAAGAGGGTAGACACATACAGCATTTATTGTAACTTTTACAACCTCATTATAAATGTTTGTTTTCTAATTTTTAATAAATTGTTGTTATGTTTTGTTACTGAATAAATTCTTTTTATTTAACTTTATTTAATTTTATTTAATGTCATTTTTTAAATAAAGAAAACAGCAGTGTTACTTAAAAACTCAACAATCTGTGTTGTTAAGAAAACAAAAGATATCAAACTATACATTTTTAAAAAGTAGATGAATCTCTCTTTTGAATGCCATCAAAATATACAGGGTGTTCCATTTAAAATAATACATATTTTTTCCATTCAAGTTGACCAACATTAGTGGATCACCCTGTATTGATGTGATAAAATGTAAACGAGAGCAATTAATAGGCTGTGCATTTACATTTAAAATCGATCACTCTTATTTGGGACACCCTGTATTTCTTTAGCGATTTAAATCTGACATTTCAGACCACTCACTAACATATAAACGATTAAACGACAACAACAATAATTGAACATAAAACACAACAATATGGTGTACTATTTATTACCAACCAAATGTGGTTGATTTCATTTTTTAAACTAAAATACAATTCTAAATTAGTGTCTGTGTTGCTTACACAATTTTATATTAAAAATTTGTTTTTGGCATACACCTAAATAAATAAGTTCATCTTAAAATCATGGGTAAATCCCCTTAAAAGGTTATTGGCATAGATACTATATTAAAAAAAATTACAAAAGTTTTCTATTTAAAATAGTACTGAAAAATTGATAATCCTAGCAATAGTTGTGCTACTACAAAAGATGATGGTGTAAGAAGAGATGAAGAGTCTGTTGTTGGGTTCTCTGTTGACGAACTTTCTGCTGTTGTGGTAGTTGATGAGTCAGTTGAGGAAGTTGATGAGTCAGTTGTGGAAGTTGTTGTGGTTGTTGGAATAGGAGCAAAGCCATTATAAGTATTCAGGGTATTTATAATGTATACATTTGCTAGTGAATCGACATCTTTGGCTAAAAGAAAGTCCAAATTGTTAAATTGTGGATACTCAATTTGATAATTCTCTACTACGTTCTGCAGTTCACTTGCTAATCGACCAATATCCTATAAAATTAATAAAAAAATGTTATTAGTTTAATTTAATATTTTACTCTCAAATAGTAGGAATACTTACAGTTTTTGATACAATTAAATCGTTTTTTCCATAAAAAATTCCAACAGGTACGGAAACTTTGGACAGCTTGTAAGGGGCAGGAGTTGGTTCATTGTATATATCCAAATTTCCTATTCCGTAATCGAAATGTCTGAATTCACCTAAAAATAAAACAGTTTTTGTCATTTAAAACAAATACAGAACCATTTCAAAAATTAACTTTACCTGAAACTCTTGCTTGTAGGACATGGTTCAATTCTTTTATAGAAGTTCCAGCTGGAAATGTTTTATAGAACTTTTCAGTCAATTCCTAAAATAAATAAAAAATAAAATTTAAGCTGACATAAGGAATTAATGTACAATCAAAATAATTACTTTACTGAGCTCCTTGGTATCGAACCCTTGAAGGAGGAACAACACGGCTTCGCATATACCTATAAATTTAGAACCAGCTTTGCACACAACCCCCAAGCCAATATCCAAAATGAGGCTGCGTGTTAAAAATTGCTTTGATTTCAACTTTTTCTCCACAGCCTAAAAATACAAAGTCATTATACATACATTAAAATTGTAGTAACTTTATTAACATTATTTGTCCCATTCGTTCTCTATATGTGTGACGTGTGGAGGGTTGGTTGCCCCCCCCCCCCACGGCACTTAGGCTTCATTAGACCCATTGTGCATCCTCCTGAGATGATAGGCACCTCCTATCTCGTGATCCAGCCTACATATTTAATGTAGTTGACAACATCACTAAGAGGTGCTTCTCTTATATCGTCCGGTGTTAGCCGATACTCGCCGAACACAAATCTTTTAATAAATGAGAGCGTCAAGCAATCGTAAAGGATATGCTGGATGTTCTTATCTTCTTGTTCGCACCTTCTGCAGAGTGCGGATTCTTACAGCTCATAATATGGAGATGCTTTCGTACTTGGCAATAACCAATAGAAGGGCCAGGTCCCAAAAAGTATTTGGATGGCTGTTTTCTTGGCTAGTGAATCAGCAAGACGGTTATCTGTCGATGTGGCGTGACCTTTGATCCACATTGTTGATGGATACTTCGGCCAAAGCTTCGTGACATATTAGTACTAACCCTGAGTAAATTCGTGGTCTGTTCAGGGTGAGTAGTGCTTGTCTGCTGTCTATATAGATGCGCATGTTCTTTCCAATGATATTGTTTCTGGTTATTTCTTTTGTTGCTATGAGAATCTTCGTTAGCTCTGTTTGAACTGCACTGTCACTATTGCTCATAGCCCATTTTATGTTTACGTTTAAGAATCTGGAGTATACTCCACATCCTGAGACTCGGTGTATATATGAATCGTACCTGCCATTCGTAATTTAATATATTTATAAATTCTAAATGTTTAAATCTGATTATCTTGCTGGCTGGTATGTCATGGTAGCTGTACCAGTAGACCAACAATAACCGAAACAAAACTAGATATTCTTGAAGAAGAAACTATGAACATTTATAATTATACTTACCAATATTGCTACATAATCTTTCGAATTGACAAGATCCAAAAGGATGCTCGTTGTATGTTTCAAATAGACAACTGGACCTAGAGCTGTCATAACTTTAACTTTTTTGTTATATTCGGGTTTAGATGCTAACATCATGAAAAACTGTGAAGCTCCAGTGGAATGTCCTACTAAGGATAATTGTTTTGTTTTTGTTTGATTTAGAATGTAGTCGATAATAGCAGGAGAATCAAAACTACCTAATTCGTCTAATCTAAAAAAATATGGTATTTAATTTTTTTCTGCTGATATGCTGTATTCGTTTAGTACAGGTATATATGTATATTACCCAAAATCCCAGAACGTCTCATTTTTAGACGGATTCAACGTTTGATGCTTGGTACTCCAGGTATTTCCTCTGTTATTCCCTACCCATACATCATATCCAACATCAGCCAAACGTAATGGTAGAGATTTTCCAGGTCCTATATGGAAAAAATCTGCGGAGGAGCCAAGTAAGCCATGCATCACTAGTACCGGAGGTCTATTGTCGGTTTTATCATTGCTTGGACTGTACTGGACCCTGTGAATTTCCAGGATGTACCCATCTTTGGTGGTTACTGAATGCTTTTCGAAGGGATAACCGAAACCTTTTACTAGACTTTCCTGCAAATTTGATAAAAAATATTGTTAGTTATATAATCAAAACTGAAGGTAATTAAATTGATTATTAGAAGAAGTATCCAGAATCAGTGGCGGCTCGTGAGACTAGCGGCAGTGGGGCACACACTGGAATGATCAGAAACATGAAAAAAAGTTTTAAAAAATGGGCGGTCATAAAATTTTTTCGTCTGCACGAATGCAATACTGAGGCCCCATAGGAAGGGCCTCAGTAACATCTAAAAGCTCACTTTACATGTCCCATTCATCACCCTACAATTTCATAATATACATTCATTCATTTCAAAAAAAAAAATACTTTAAAATCACAGATTTTGTTTGACCTTCATGTGCTGTAAAACTCCCATAAAATTTTGATTTATTACTCCGTGTCGATTGCAATTCTACTATAGAACATTTCTAGACTTTTCAAAAACTTTTGACACTGTATGTCAATAAAATCGTTGAAGAAATTGGAAAAATATAGAATATGTTAAAAAAACCAAAAAAGGTTGACAGCTGTGTGCACGTAGTTTAGATTCAAAAAGGAAAAACTTGTATTTCGTGCAAAACTTTTTTATTAATCAATGCAAAGCGCTTTCGGCTTATTTGCCATCATCAGTGCTCATCTACAAAAATTGTGGATGTAAACTTACAATTTAAAAAGATTTAAAAAAAAAATATATTATAAAATCTGAATTAGACTTTTAACTTTTGACTTAAAAGTCTAATTCAGATTTTATAATATATTTTTTTTTTAAATCTTTTTAAATTGTAAGTTTACATCCACAATTTTTGTAGATGAGCACTGATGATGGCAAATAAGCCGAAAGCGCTTTGCATTGATTAATAAAAAAATTTTGCACGAAATACAAGTTTTTCCTTTTTGAATATAGAATATGTTGAAAACCATTCAGAATATTTGAAAGTTATGTGACAGTTTTAATAGTAACATATGGATAGTAATATTTAGTGTCCCACAAGGTAGTATTTTGAGACCTGTTCTTTATTTACTCTACATAAATATACTACAATTAGATAACATTATTAATATTTCTGATGATACAGCTGTTGTGTACTTTTCATCTTTATGAAGGCACCTGAAAGTATAAAGTGATTTCCCTAAAATATCTAAATGGCTAAGTACAGTTTAATAAATTAACAGTATTAAAAAACTAGATACTTTCCATTTTCGTCTTATATAATAATAATAATAATAATAATATTTTTATTGACCATTTAAAATACAATATTTGAAAAAAATAAAATACAATTTAAAAAAAAAAAATTAAAGTACCAGAAATAAACATGGTCAAAAGGTCCTAAGATCAGCTCAAGCTGTTCTTCCTCAAAGGCCTGCAAATGTAATCTAAACTAATCTAATAGGGTGTAACACATGTATATAATAAACAGAACTAAAACAAACAAAAAAAAGTACTATGGGCCGTTTGCATCGCTGGTCATCAAGAAACAAAAGACTTTTATTTTTTAAGGAAAGATAATAACGACGAGCGGTGCCGATGGATCCTAGTAATTTATATAAACCAAACAAAATCAAATTACAAACTTACAAATTTGTGAATTGGTCATCATATAATATTTTAAACATTTTTGTTTTAAATGATGCTATGGATAAATTAATTAGGGAAACAGGAATATTATTATACTCCTTTGCTATCTGGTATGAAAACGAGTTTTTAAATTGTTGTGTTTGGTGTTTTGGAATCTCAATAGAATTTTTTTTTCGTGTATTTCTACTATGAACATCAGAACGATAAATAATTTTATTCCAAAGATATGGAGGACTTTTTTTAATTAAAATTTTGTGAAACAGGGTTAATGAATGAAGTTTTCTCCTATTTAACATATTTAACCATCTGGCATTTGCTAGTGTATGGGAAATTCTATCAAATTTTTTAATTCCATATATAAGTAACCTATTTGAATCTGCTACTGAAAGACAAGGTCCATATACAAAATCACAATAATTTGCATTACTTAGAACGAGAGAGTCACAGAGTTGTATCTTTAGTTTTTTGTCAAATAAATGTCTGCTATGATATAAAGTTTTTAGTTTAAAAAAGGATCTTTGTAGAACATAAGAAACATGATCTGTGAATTTCAGTCGATTGTCTAGTATTATCCCCAAATTTTTTGCTTTTTGAACAGTTGGTAGAGTCACATCATTAATTTTTATAGACACGTTAGAAGAAGCAGCTCCAAAAAACATAACAGCTGATTTTTCTGAATTAATCACCAAATTATGTTGGGTAGATACTTTCACCAAGGCATTTAGATCGGTATTTATTTTCTGAATGCACTCTGATTCATCGTTTTTGTTAAAAAACATATATAACTGCGTATCGTCAGCATACATATGAGCTTTGCAATATTGTAAAACCAAACACAAATTGTTCGTATATATTGTATAAAAAAGAGGGCCTAGGATTGAACCTTGGGCTACTCCTCGCCCAACTTGCTCTACGCTAGACGATACACCATTATATAATACTTTCTGTGTTCTTCCCGACCGATAGTTTCTAAGAAATGTTATTGCGGTTGGTCCTAAGCCAATAAAATGCAAAATGGATAAAAACAATTTGTGATTAATCATGTCGAATGCTTTACTATAATCAAGCAGAATTAATAAACCAACATTTTTGGCGTCGGATTCCTTCAGAAAGTCATCCGTAATATTTAATAGGGCCATACCACAGCTATATCCCAATCTAAATCCCGATTGTGTGAGTGGTAGAATTTTATATTTATCAATGTGTTCTCGAAGTTGTTCCTCAGACAGACATTACCAAGTTGAGTCCGTTAAGTGTGGGATTGAATAACAAAACTTATACAGTCTGTTCGCTATACTTACGCGGGTTTCGGATTAACAGAATTATGCAAATTAGTTATTGACAACCAGTTCCAATAAGCCTTTTCCCAATAAATTAGGTAAAATTGCCCTAACGGTCAGATTTAAATTAAAATAACTACCCTTAAAAAATGTACATAATTACTTACTATGTTAAAAGTGCCAAACTGACGTTTGTACTCTTCTTCATCTAAATCTACATCATCGGCTTTAATAATAACTGATGCACAAGCTAGTGAAATGCAACACAATGTTGCTATAAAGATAGTCTTCATTTTTTGATGTAATATTTGTAGGTAATTTTGCACGACTGAACGAAATAACAAATATTTTATTTATTATCAGATTTATTGAACAATCGTTTTGGAGATAAATATATTTTAAGTGGTTAATAATATAGGTTTTGATTTGTTTATCGCATGTATTGTATTTAAAGCAACACGAAGTACTTGAACTTTAGATGCAGAAAGTGCCAAATTAAAATTAATACTGTTCAGCCTTGATTCAGGTTAATATTGAATAAAATAAAGAGTTTTAATTGCAGACACTTTTAGTTAGTGGTATTTTTTGGTACTAACTCAGTGTCATATAACTCTGATTATTATCTATTTAGCCTTTTCTGAAATATCCTGTATATAAAGAATGTATTTCTGCTTAAATTTAAATAGAATATTATGTTGTAAGTAGGATAATATTTTTTATCTATACTATTTACAGACACATTAACATACAATTATTGATTAAATCTTTGATTTATGAAAGAGTAAATACTGATTTTTATGTTAAATAATTATTCTCAGAATACTTTAAGTGATTATATTTCACATCTGTAGTGATTTACAAAATGTATTTCTCAAGTAGGCTATAATCGACAAAGACGAAAATGTAATGTTCATGATAACAAAGCAGGATTCTGATGTAATTCCAAATTGACACCTTTCAACTTTCCGACATGCGTCAATTTTTCCAAAACCTACTTTAGAAAGTGTTTTGTTTTTTTAATCCTTTATTACACCACATTATCCTTTATTGTCTTTTATTATCCTTCTTTCATTATCCTGCGTTATTCTTCCCAAGTATTTTAGTTATTCAAGTTGTTTGACACTATTCCTAATTAGAAAAGAACATTTTGGTGTTCGCAGCTAAAACCTGACCTGCGTTGCATGCTCCGTCTCCGTGAAAACAACTAATTTTATGCTGTTCAACCCACGAAAGGAGGAAAATAAAAATGTTACCTGAGTGTCGGTTAAAAAGAAAAATGTCTTCCTGAAGCCTTGTAAAAATGGCGTCTTCTTCCAGGCCATTCCGCAGAGTTCCGTTCGAGAACAAAGACTTGGAAAATTTGGAAAGAGTATAATTCCTATTTTAATATTTTGTCTATTTTTTTTAAATACCCCGTATAGATGTTAATTAGGCGTAGGTACTGGGAAAGCAAAAACTCGACTAGCATTATATCGAAACAAACGTGGAGTTAGAAGTTTTGCGCGCCCGGGGTCACATGGAGCCAAAGTTAATTGGTTTGCAAATTGACTTTTCCGATGAAAGATAAGATAAATTTGTAATTACTTTCGTGATTGGAGTTCAACTAGAGCGGATAATGGCTCTCCAGTATCATTTTACCCAATGCAGAAGACCGTACACTACACATAAACACAAATTGAAAACGTTCTTGCTAAACAACAAAACCGAATCGATAAATTTATTTTGCATGCACCTTTGTTTTCATATTTTAGTCAAAGCAAAATATATATTGATAATATCAAATATGTTGTCTTTTCTCTTAAACATTAGTATAACATAAAAAAATATTCCACGATTTAAACAGCATTATTGAAAGTATATTATGCTTTGTTTTGATGAATTTTAACTTCCTATTTACTTCTAAACAATGAAATGTTCCAAAACGGACCATCAAATTCTTATATAAAAATTATGTTTGTACCAAAAGTTATCGAAAAGAAAGCAAACCAACTTTCCCTATTCCGATTTCGCAAATTTCGTCAGCTTAGAAGTTCAATAAGTCTTAAAAGTTTTTTGGCTGGCTGTGCGACACCCCTTGTTTTACTTTTCAATTTGGCCGTGTTTCACTTTTACCGTTTTTTTATTGAAAAACTTCGTAAAGGTATCACTGCGAAATTTTAACTTGCTGCATTTTATTTGTCTTTTTTTAATAATTTAAATTCGGAAATTAATCAATGAAGTTTTTTGCAAAATGGGATCTACTTTTAATTTTTGACGGAAATATTTCAAAAACATCGTGACCATAAAGGAATAAAATATCTAAAAGTTACCTCCAACGGGTTAACATTCATATTAACATATTTTTTTTGGGCCTCATTTTTCCTCCAAAAGAAGCTTGTCCTTCAGTCAGGATGATAAAGGACAACAACAAAAAGTAAATAATAACATAATTTGAAGTGAGTGTTCTGCATTACAAAAATCTCTCCAGAGGACGATTCAAGAGGTTTTGTCAACGTTCTATAATGCACAATTGTACATGCAAAAGAAACGCTAGATTGCTCTGGATTGTTCTGCATCCATAGGCGGGTACTAACAATATTTGAAAGGGATTTAAAGTAGAGATCTCGAAATAATGTTGGTTCTGGCTTTGGGATAGTCACTAAAATGTTTTTTTATTAATGAACTTCATAATCATAATATTATTGCTATAATTTACCTTCATACGAGTTAATTTTATCGCCAGTTTACCGTAAGATCAGTTTGAAAGTGTAAACATAGGGTTAATAGTGTTATAATTTTTTTGTAGTGTCATAATTATTGATAAAATCTTTGATGTATTTTTTTTGTAGTTACAACGAAGTCCTAACCTCACAGTTTTGTGATTGCTGCATTTAATGTATTTTTACCTTCATATGCCTAATTTTCTGTATTATTTTGCTACATTAATCGCAGTTATAACAAATGCACATACCTGAGCACTATACTCAATATATTAAGAGGTGTATCTACCCCGAAGGGTTTTTGTTTATACAGGGTGTTATTGAAATACACGTACATATTAAAATGGGGAATAGTATGTAATGACCAAAAACGATTGGCACCAATTTTAACTTCAAATTCTAAAATTTAAATATTGGGGAAGAGTCCCCTTTTCCGACCTACTAGTTTCCATATTTGAAGAAGTAAAATAAATCGAAATTGAACTTACCCATAGAAATTGCACTGTTGCCGTAGCAAAACCAATTAATTCAAAATAAAGTTTATTACAGTAATTGTTTAAAATGCCGTCCATTATTATTTACACACACTTGCAATCGTCTTTCCAAAGAACTTTGAACATTAGAAATTAGTCTTGGATTTTGTCGTAGTTCCTCGGCTACCGCATTAACTTTATTGGTTAATTGTTCAACACTATTAATAGGTTCATTATAAACCAGTTGTTTCATGTGACCCCACAAAAAGAAATCGCATGGATTTAAGTCCGGAGATCTCGGAGGCCACTTAGTAGGTCCATTTCTGTCTATCCACTTTTGAGGAAATCTAATGTTCAAAAACTGCCGTACGTTTAAATCAAAGTGAGGAGGAGCGCCATCTAGTAGGTACCACATCCGTTGCCTTAATTGTAACGGTATCTCTGCTAGGAGTACTGGCAAAATATCTTCTAAAAAGTGGAGATATCCTGGCCCATTTAATCTGTTCGGGAGAACATAAGGCCCGATTAAATACTGATCTATTATGCCAGCCCAAACATTTATTGAAAATTTTCTTTGATGCCCAGTTTCCCTAATGGCGTGAGGATTTTCATCACTCCAAATATGCGTATTGTGCATATTGAACACGCCATCACGAGTGAATGAAGCCTCGTCAGTATACATTAATATTTTTAGAAAATCAGGAATATCAACACATTTTTGAATCATCCATTCACAAAACTCCACTCTCTTTTCTTCATCACCTGGATATAAGGCCTGGACTTTTTGGATGTGATAAGGATGTAAACCTTGTTCTTTAAGTGTCCGCCACACAACAAATGAGGACACTCCAATTTCAAGACCTAGTCTTCTACAACTTAATTGAGGCCGGTTTTCAACAGCTTCCAATATTTCTTCTTCGGCCGCCAATGTTCTTTGTGTTCTTGTTCTCCCTCGATCTGCATTGACACTCTTAAATTTTCCATGGTATCTTAGATGCTGAACAGTTGAAATAAACGTACGACAGTCCGGAATTCTCCGATTTGGAAACCGTTCGCGATACAGGATTTGTGCTTGCCGAGAATTTTCTCCAGCTGCCCCATAAACCAGCACTATATCCGTTAGTTCAATATTCGTAAATAGTGGCATCGTAAAAAAATATTTAAAAGTAATCGTAACAACACTTTTTACCAACTTGGAAATGACGCGCTCGTGTTAGCCAGATTCGTAAATCAACTAAAATTTTAATAATCTATAGTTTCAAAAATGTATAGTTTAAAAACAATCATTTATCAAATATTCTAGTTTTTTGATAACGAGGGTAGTAAAAACCAGTCTTCGGAAATAGAAATTAATTCGAAAATCTTGGCAACATGGTTATTTCTTACAAGACTAGTTTTCTTATCATCTGACAAAAACTTGCATATTAATTACTGTTGATGTTTAAAATAGGTAAATAAACCTAATTTATATAGGTCATCCTCAACATATCAGTGAAGTACGTTTGTTTTAGAATTAATTTTCAAAAATTAATAACTCCATTAATAAGGGGTATTTTTAAAAAATAATATTTTTCTACATTCAGTGGGGATCTGCGCAATACCCAGTTTTAATATGTACGTGTATTTCAATAACACCCTGTATAAACATAAGCGTAGTCGCTAGGATTTTGTATGGAAAGCTAATATTTTCCATTTATATAGGTGTTATAATTTTATTTCACTTATGGATTACTTTATTAAGAAGTAGAATTCATTTATCAGTATTACAGAAATGATTTACTTAAAACAATAAGGTGTACAAATACGTAAAATTTATTTATCTTTCGTAAAACATCATTAAAATATATTATAAATTGTTTTCATTCACAAATATTAATTTCATTTAAAGTTAACAGAGGCATCACTTTCCGGACAAAAAATCTTGCAATGTAAGGGTTTCATAGTACCCCACTTCTGACTATTTCTAAAAGAAAAAAACATATACGTGTAGGTAAAGGTTAAATCTATACACCTCTGGAACCCCTTTTTTTAAATTTAATTTAGTTTTTTCTAAAAAAAATTGAGAAAATGCGCACATATATTTTTTTAAATAGGTTACTACTATTAAATATTAATATGCATTCTTATCTTTCACTTTCTTTTCCCTTTATGTATTTTTAAAACATTTTTAATATAATTTCCTAAATAAAGGAAGCCACTGTCGAAGAAGGATATTTTTATTCACCATAA